GGTGCACTCCATTTGTGGGTGCAGTCTTATTTCTCCCACACTTCCAACTCAGCCCAGCTGCTATTTCATTGTCCAGACTGCTTACTTACAATTCAGACAAGAGGAGTTGCTGGTGCCTACCTCACATTTGGCAAGCACTAGCAGCTCTTCTTGTAAGTCTCGGCCTGAAGGAAACTGCATTCTCTATTTTTCCCTGTTCTCGTTGCAGCTGGGAGGGGAAGTTCTTATACTTTAATTTAATTTTCACCAGTTCTTGGCTTGTTACACACAAAATATTGACAATGCAAACACAAAATTATTTGTATGCATTACAATGAACGTTTTAGTGTAAGGACGAAAATGTGTGGTTTCTCATAGATGTTGTTGGGAAGGCTACACATTCTTCCTTCAAGTTGTTTTAGACAGTGATTATTAGTTCAGATATATGAAAAAGTTAGAAGTCAAAGACAAGGGACCCTAAATACAAATAGAACATCTGCTGACCTAATGGGGAATAAGGAATATGTGTATCCAGGGCTTTGCTCAGGTTTAAGGAAGCTCCTATATGTAATACTACATCATGCTTAAGATTTGCACATGAACATACCTATACTGTTGCAAAAGTTCAGATATTAAGATAGTCATTGCAGATTGTAAACTTGTCTTCCATTTAAATTGAAAATAAAAATATTGAGTGAGGTGTTGTGTGGTTTCCGGGCTGTATGGCGATGTTGTAGCCGCACTTTATCATGATGTTTCACCTGCATCTCCAGAGGATCCTCTGAAAATGTCAGCCACAGATGCAGGCTAAATCTCAGGAGAAAATGCTGCTAAAACATGGCCATACAGCCCAGAAACTGCACAACATCCCAGTGATTCTGGCCGTGAAAGCCTTAGACAATACATTGAACAAAAATATTCAGAATTTTTGTCATGCACCTGGAGATTATTATGACTTAATATCAGCATACATTTCTATCCTCTGTTTGCTTACAGCTATTGATGATGAAACTGTAAGAACCCATTTCTCTCAATGTGGAAATGTAATGGGTGTACGAATTGTGAGAGATAAGCGCACAGGCATTGGCAAAGGATTTGGCTATGTTCTATTTGAGGTATGTTGATTCTGATGACAGAAACTTACTGTGGCATTATATTCATGCCAAATACATTGGGTGCTTACTGAAGTGAGGTGAGTGAATTTAACAGCAACAGAAATGCAGTGTTAAAACCGTAGTTTATTATTGAAATGTTGAGGTGTTCTTCATTATTAGGATTTAATGAGTGGATTATTTTAAGGCCTTCTTGGCCATCACTCTATGATCTACATGATGCACTATTCTCCAGTAATTTCATTGCATAACACCTCCCTTACAATTACTTACCAAATAATGCTTAGTAACGTGGCAGCAGGAAAACAGGAAGACTTATTCCAGGTGGATATAGTCAATCAGGGAAGCAATAAACCCTGAGTCTGCAAGACCTGAAAATTGGATGGGATGACTTGAAAGTCTCTTATTAAAACTACCCCAACACCTTTGTGACAAAGCAAAGGGAGGACAATAAGCCCAGGCTTCCATGTACTCTTGAGACCTGATATGGAGAGTTTGGAGATCCACCAGAGCAGGTAATCAGCACTTGAGAGGGCTCATGGGGGAAGGGGTCCCATGTCCTTACCTCCCATAGTGGTTGTTAACCTATAGCTATAAATGCAAACTATAACTAAATTATGGGATAGACCTGACATACAGGTGCACAATTTTATTCATTCATTCATTCATTCATTTAATATTCTCTCTTTCTCCCAGCCCAGGGCTTAGGGCAACTGAAGTACAGTTAAAAACACATTTGTACAATAGGTTTTTTTTAAAAAAACAAACTCTACACCAATTTTATAAAACAGCGTCAAAACAATTAGAATAATAGAATAACAGTTGGAAAGAGACCACATGGGCCATCTAGTCCAACCCCCCTCCCATGCAGGAAAAGCACATTAAAGGCTCTCTCTGTTCCAACAATATGTGAACCTAAGACCTGCCTTAAAAAGAAGGTATTTGTCTTCTGGCAGAAAGAGAACAGAGAGGCCAAGCCAACCACCCATGGAAGTTCTAAACCTTGGAGGAGTATCTCCAGCATATTTACCAAATCTACTGTAATTGATAACTTTATGATGTTATGTAGCTTTCAAAGAAATAGCCATACTAATCTGTTGCAATGGAAAAAGGGGGGAGGAGAGAAAAACAGTCTTTAGCAACATTCTAGAGACTGATTTTTGTTTTAACACAAGCTTTTGTGGATATCAGTTCATTTCTTCAGATACAATGCAATTATTTTAAAACCTGAGGTTATTAAGTGAATTGATAGAATTGTGGAGGGTGGAATAGAATGTGACAAGATTCAGAATGCTCATCCCAGATCTTCATTGAGCTATGTGTGAAGATACAGGTCTTTATCATTGCTTTCACCTGAATTTGTACCCTGATAAGAACTTTTTTGCTGATCCGTTATGCTTGGTTGTGATGTTGTTGTAATGTTATTGTTGAGTGTCTCTTAAACTACAAAGAAATATGCATGGCTCAAATATGATATGAATGCTTAACTCGAAATGATGTCATTTCCTACTTAACCATTTAATTTTCCTTAAAGACTACAGATGCTGTACACCTTGCCCTGAAACTAAACAATGCTGAACTGGAAGGAAGAAAGCTACGAGTAAAACGTTGTGTTGAGGGTGAAAAAACACAACATAAAAGTCCACATAACAAAGCAAAAAGCCCCATTGGACTTAAGTATACAAAGGCAACTTCACCGAAAAATACAAAAGGATCCTCTAGTAATACATTTGTTGGTGAAAAAGCCGACCCACTGAAAAAGAGCAAAAAATCAAAAACAAAAAACAATATGAAGAAAAAATTGAAAAAAGCAAAATGAAACTTTTGAAGTTTTAATTATATTTTAAATAAATATTATTTCATACTTAAGTCTGTTGACATATTTTGTCTTCATAGTTTTGAGATATAACTTGATTAATGTATATTAAGAAGTAAGTAATAAAATAAATTCCACAAAATAGGCCATAACAGTTTTATTACTTCTTCGCCTATTATAGTGGGGAGACCATCCACTGCCGGCGGGGGTGGGGGGAGCTTTATTAATGTTTCCCTTAGGAAGGATTCCTTTGTGGTTAATCAGTCATCGCCTTCCAAACACACGTTAATTTTCTGAAATCTAAAACTTGATAATTATAAGCTGCATGTATTTAAATGGGATGCGTTTCTTTTGGAGAGTGCTAGGGAAGAGTGCTAAGTGCTAGAGTCCAAATAGTTAATAACAGCTGCTTGCTTTTTCTTTCCAAACTTTATTTGCTTCTTCGTTGTATAAACAGCTTTTGGAAGTTACTGGGTTATTATATGGCAGCATAGTTCCAGCTTCCATGTATTCTTTTCCTTTGTTGCTATCACTAAACAAGTATGGCATATATCAGCAATGATAGCTGACAAAGAGAAGTTATGATCGGGTTGCTGTGAGTTTTCCAGGCTTCATGGTCATGTTCCAGAAACATTCTCTCCTGACATTTCTCCTGCATCTATGGCAGGCATCCTCAGAGATTGTGAAGTCTGTTGGAAATTAAGCGAGTGGGATTTATATATCTGTGGAATGTCCAGGGTGGGAGAAAGAACTCTTGTTATCAGGAGAAAATGCCTTTAGAACATGGCCATATATCCCGAAAAAACCTACAACAACCCAACTCTTGTCTGTTTGAGGCAAGTGTGAATGTTGTAATTGGCCATCTTGAATATGATCCAAGTTGCGATCTCTTGGATCCAAGCTGCTTGTGTTTTGGGTTGGCTGGAGCTTCTGAGGGCTGAAATGCACAGGTGTGTCTATAACAAGCATGGGCAAACTTGGGCCCTCCAGGTGTTTTGGGCTGCAAGTCCCACTGTTCCTAACAGCCTCAGGCCCCTTCCTTTTCTCCCTCAGCTGCTTAAGAGGCTGAGGAGGAAAAGGAAGGGGCCTGAAGCTGTTAGGAATTGGGGAGTTGAAGTCCAAAACACTAGGAGGGCCCACGTTTGCCCATGCCTGGTCTACACTGTAGAATTAACCGCTTTGAGTCCCCTCGGGGTAAGAAAAGCGGTATATAATTGCTGTAAATAAATAAATAATGCAGTTTGATGCCACTTTAACTGCCATGGCTCAATCCTGTAGTACTGGTGCCTTACCATGATTTCGCAGCATTGAGCCATGGCAGGTGAAAGTGGTCAGAATCATAGAATTGGAAGAGACCTTGTGGGCCATACAGTCCAACCCCCTGCCAAGAAGCAGGAGAATCACTTTCAAAGCACCCCCAACAGATGGCCCATCCAGCCTCTGTTTAAAAGTTTCCATAGAAGGAGCCTCCACCACACTTTGGGATAGAGAGTTCCACTGCTGAACAGCTCTCGCAGTCAGAAAGTTCTTCCTAATATTCAGGTGAGATCTCCTTTCCTGTAGTTTGAAGCCATTGCTCCGCGTCCTAGTCTCCTGAGCAGCAGAAAACAAGCTTGCTCCTTCTATGACTCCCCTTCAAATATTTATACATAGCTGTCATGTCTCCTCTCAGCCTTTTCTTCAGGCTAAACATGCCCAGCTCTTTAAGCCGCTCCTCATAGGGCTTGTTCTCCAGTCCTTTGATCATTTTAGTTGCCCTCCTCTGGACACATCCCAGCTTGTCAATATCAAACTACATTAATTCTTCAGCCTAGATCAGTCCTCTTCAAGCTGTTTGGGCCTCCCAACTCCCAGAAGCTTTAGCTAGCTTGTTGAGTGGTCAGGAATTCTGGGAGTGGAACGCCGCAGTTTGGGGACGCGCGTGCTAGAAAACAGCAGACGTGACAGTTTCCGCATAGGCCAAAACGGGAAGCAAGGCGCATGCGCAAATTAGGCACGCACACGAGGAGCCTGGCACCACTTGGAGGAGGTGAATGGGGAAGCGTGCCTGGCCGCGCATGCGCAGTGCAGCGCTTGGCCGTCGCCGGCCGATGACGCGTGCGAGGCGCGGGGCGGGCCTTGCCTTTCCTCTCCTTGCCTGAGAGGCGAGAGAGAGGGTCCGGCGGGAAGAGCGGAGGATGATGGCGATGGGGGGCAAGAGCAGCGCCATCGCCGCCGGGCTCTGCGGCGCCCTCTTCATCGGCTACTGCATCTACTTCGACCGCAAGCGGAGGAGTGACCCCAACTTCAAGAACCGGCTGCGGGAACGTGAGTCGCCTCGCGCCCAGGGGCCTGGATGTGCGCAAAATTAGGCCCGGCCTATGGGGGGGGGGTGAGGAGGGGCATCTGCCTGGCCTAATGCATACTGAGGCCGGGCATGGGCAAACTTAGGCCTTGCAGGTGTTTTGGACTTCAACTCCCACCATTCCTCACAGCCTCAGGCCCCTTCCTTTTCCGCTTAAGCGGCTGAGGGGGAAAAGGAAGGCGCCTGAGGCTGTGAGGAATGGTGGGAGTTGAAGTCCAAAACACCTGCAAGGCCCAAGTTTGCTCATTCCTGAGATAGTAAGGAAAGAGCATAGTTTTGTGGGGAGTTTTCCAACAAATATTTGGGGCCTTCGAGCAACATAGAAACACGACCAAGAGAAGAAAGCATTCATAATGTATATACATTGTAGAATCAATGCAATTTTCACACCACTTTTACCTGCCATGGTTCAGTGCTTTGGGATCCTGGTTCTTGGAATCTTGGGATTTGTAGTTTCGTTAGGCACTAGCAGTCTTGGGCAGAGAAAGCTGGAAAAATGAAAATCTTCATAACTTTTTGGGAAAATGGCTTATTCATAACCATTTGGGGAAAAAAACCAGGAATCTCCACAAGCATTTGGAAGCGCTATCCTGTTGGAGCTCAATTGGCATTCACATTATTTGGAATAACCATAGTAAAGGTATGTAAACTTACCTGTCCGAACGCATCTCCCCTTATGAACCATCTAGGACAGGGGTCTTCAAACTTTTTAAACAGAGGGCCAGGTCACAGTCTCTCAAACTGTTGGAGGGCCAGATTATAATTTGAAAAAAACATGAATGAATTCCTATGCACACTGGACATATCTTATTTGTAGTGCAAAAAAACACTTAAAAACAATACAATAATTCAAAAATAATTAAAATGAACAATTTTAACAAATTTTAACAAATAATTTATTATAGTATTTCAATGGGAAGCATGGGCCTGCTTTTGGCTGATGAGATAGGATTGTTGTTGTGTGCTTTCTAGTCATTTCAGACTTAGGTTGACCCTGAGTGAGGGCTGGATAAATGACCTCGGAGGGCGGTATTCGACCCCCAGGCCTTAGTTTGAGGACCCCTGATCTTAAGACCTTAAGATCATCTGGGGAGGCCCTGTTCTTGTTACTGCCTTCGTCACAAGTACATTTCGCGGAGACGAGAGACAGAGCCTTCTCGGTGGTGGCCCCTCGGCTATGGAATGCCCTCCCTATATATATTAGATCAGCCACCTCCCTTTTAACATTCTGGAAAAAAGTCAAGACATGGCTTTTTGAACAAGCGTTTCCAAATACAGAATAACTGACATAGGAAAATGGAATGATGACAATGAGACCGGACAACGTTTTTAACAATGCGACACTATGAATTTATATTTTATTGATTTCTTCAGTTTTTATTATATGTTATGTTTTGAATTATATTTATGATATTGTAAGCATTGAATTTTACTCTGTTAACCGCCTTGAGTTGCCTATGGGCTGAGAAAGGCGCTATACAAATACAATAAATAAATAAATAAATAAAGGTAAAGATTTTCCCCTGGCATTAAGTCAAGTCGTATACGACTCTAGGGGTTGGTGCTCATCTCCATTTCTAAGCCGAAGGGCCGACATTATCCGTAAACACCTCCAAGGTCATGTGGCCGGCATGACTGCATGGAGTGCGGTTACTTTCCTGCCGGAGCGGTACCTATTGATCTACTCATCATGTTTTCGAACTGCTAGATTGGCAGAAGAAATAACCATAGTTTTTGGAAAGGCATGGCCATGATAGAGATCCTAACCTTTTGTAAAGGTTAAAGCTCGCTTGAGACAACTTTCTCCTTAGTGGTAAATATCCTTACTTAGGCAATCCCTCGTTGTCCGAGTATGATGGCCTTCCAAGTGTAGTGTCTTGGCAGTGGATATGTAGGTGACTGTAGAGCCCTATTCTTGACCTACATGTTCTTCCACGAGTTTCTCACATGGAGCTAGTATTCATGCAAAGCAATTAGGTTTCTTAGCTGTATACAGTTCAAAGAAATATACCTAGATATCTCTTTGAGCTGTTAGAGACAAAGATAATGCCAATGCACAAAAACCAGAAGAGTTTCAAAAGTGTTATTTTAGTTGCCCCCCACAACTCCCTTAAAACATCTTAGTTACAGATATAATTTGAAGTAGTTTCTCGGTGAAGATAACACAGGACATCATTCTTATAATCAACAGTCCAAAGTCTAAAGTCTCTCTCCAGTCTGAGAGTCTAATAGATTCTCTAAAGCATACTGTTTCTACTGACTTCTGCAAAGCATACTGTTTTTAAAATGGAGTCTGAAATCTGAATACTTCCAGATGTAGTCACATGGCCTGCAGCCCACCCACCCCCCACAACACAGAGTTAAGGAAAACTGCATACCAATATACACAGATACAATACACCAAGCAATCTGAATTATATACAAATAAATAACTAGTGGAAGTTTGAAGAAGGCTGCTATTTCCAACACTCTAAAACTCCCAAGGTTCCATACCATTGAACCACGGTGTTAAACTGCATTAATTCTACAGTGCAGATGTGCCCAAACTGGAAGGTTAGGTTTTCATATACTAAGGCTGGATCTACACTCAATATAATGCAGTTTCTGAATCTAGATTACTGTATCTGCTTTGAACTGAGGCTACATTACCATATAATCCAGCTCAAATCAGGATTCAGAAACTGGATTATATAGTAGTATAAATGGGGCCTAAGTCTGCCTCTGAATTAATTCTCTCTGTCTGTCTCAAAAGATCCTTTTGTACACACACACACACACACACACACACACAAACATTCTGTATTAACATACTAATGGGAAATACACCTTCAACCAAAGAGTTCCTTGCTGCATAGACCAGTGTCCTTGGTTTCATTCTGCTGTGGCTTGAGGTGGTGATGCTGAAGCCTGCTACCTATTTTGACTCCATTTTTTTCTAGGCATGTGTCTGGTTGTGTATGTTTGTTTAGGCGTTTAAATAAGAACTGCACAAACCTCTAAAAATCAAGGTCACATAATCATTAATCTGAAGCTTTTTTCCTTCTGTGGCCTTGTGGGAAAGAATCTGTGTATGTTTATTTATCTGTCTTGAAAGAAATGTCCCCTGTAATAGCAAACCCAGTTGGATTAGCAATTCCACAACTGGGACAACTGAGAAGCAAGATCACGGTATTCCAGAAAATAGCATTTCTGCATGACTGGACCCTCCATATAACACTTATTTGGAGCAAGATTTCATGGCAAATTGGGTTTCAATTTCGGTGCTTTTGTCTGTTGAGGTTGACCTATATTTTTCAGATTTTTAGTAAAATGATGGATGATGATTTATAAAGTGAGAGGAGAGGAAAAACATACTACCTTGTCCGTCATTGCAAGCATTCTCAAACCCTCCTGGTACTGTTGCCATTATAACTTCCAGGATAAGGATGAATGCTAAATAAAAATGTAGAGTTATCCAAAATGCAGAACATTCTGTTGTTGTTTTGCATTATTTCACCTCTTCAACAAAATTATAGTACTGTAGTCCTTTGTCAAACAGTTATACTTATTCAAACTAATTATTCTAATAATTGTAAAACGATGTTTCCAGATTTGAGTTGATTTTTTGCTAATAGAATTTAGAAGTATTTTTTGTCTTTGGAGTATGGAGAAATTAATAGTAGGGCATAGAGGGGTGACAGCTTTCTCACAGGTATCTGGCATCTCTGTTATACTGCAGCTGCTTTTATGAGGTCTGTGAAAAACTAAGGAAAATAAGACTGTGTCCTCCCTTGCAGTATGATTTAAAGGTATTGGAAAGTTTACTTATGAATATGAAGCTTTTCAGACTCATGTCAGATCCAATATTGCTCCTAGTGGTGGAAAAACTAAGAATTATAAATGGGTAACATACCACTTTATTATTTCCTTGGTTAACTGGGGGATACAGTGCTGTTCACAGAGATTTCAGCAAACACAAAAAAATGCTCTGTGCTCTGAAGTGTGCTTCCTTGACCACTAGATGTCATCTGGCAATCAGTTCTTGATTATCAGTCTTTATGCAAAAAAGGTAGGTCTCTGTAGGTGGCTGCTTGACCCAATGTAAAATTTGAAGATGGAGCCCAGCTTATTTTGTTAGGATTCTATAGTACACTTCACAGCATGTAGATAACTGTTCAATCAGTTTTAGTTACTATGTAAAAATTATTTTATTTATTTATTTATGTAAAGCATTTATATTCCGCCCTTTTCACCCCGAAGGGGACTCAGGGCGGAACACAACATATAAACGGCAAACATTCAATGCAGAAGCATATTAGACCATACACATACAAAAGCATTATCAAATGCCTGCTGGGAAAACCAAGTTTTTAACTCTTTCCTAAAGTATTGTAGCGTAGGGGCTTATCTAAGTTCACTGGGGAGGGCGTTCCAGAGGCGGGACTGAGAGAAGCAGCTCTCTGTCAGATCATTGAACTCACACTGGTTCATAAAGGGAGATGTGGTTACAACAATAGGCTGAACCCAAAATATGTGTGTGTATATATAAAAACATGCAAATAGCATTATGATTTGAAAAGTAAATGTTTCTCTACTAATCTATATATTACCATAGAATATGCAAATCTTGCTCTGTGATTTATTCATAGGAAGGAGGAAACAGAAGCTTGCCAAAGAAAGAGCAGGACTTTCAAAGGTAGGTGATGTGTTCTTATTTAGTATATGAGTTTTGCTGTGTGTTTATTTTATTTTAGCAAGATATGATATGCTGAATTCTCTTCAAGATGAACAGTAATTTAAATGTATTATCCTATCATTTTCCCTCGAGATGCATTAATTGTCTTAGATCTAGAGAAATGCCAGTGGAAAAATATCCCCCTCCACACACACACACCACACTCACACACACATATAGGCTCTTCTCCTTTCCATTCATTTTGATTCTATTCATTTTGATTCTGATTCCCTTCACATTATGGAAAAAAAAAACTCACCTCATTTGGGATGTCTTTGGAGAAAAAAGTGTAAGAGAATCAACTTCCACTGATTCCATTTCTCAAGTGGAACCAGGTCTTTGTTAATTATTTCAGTGAGATATTTCTAGGACATAACGTTTTAAAAATTGGAGTTGCTGTAGCTAATTTAAATACCTGTAAGTTAAATACATGGTGATCCAGATATTTCAATGCTTCTGGCTTATGTTTCATAATTTGACCTTCAAAAGACTTGGCATATAATATTCCTGGTATAGCTTTTTGTTGTTTAGTGTTACAGGCAATCAAATATAGAATTGTTTTTGTGTTGTTTTTATGTGTTCATGTGAGCTTGCATTGGTGATGGAGGGTTGGTGTTGACTTCAAGTGGCTGATTGAAAGGATGTTGTCATTCCAGTTGCCTGATCTAAAAGATGCAGAAGCAATCCAGAAGTTCTTCCTTGAAGAGATCCAGCTAGGCGAGGAACTACTAGCACAAGGTTGTTGCAAATTATCTTAGAGGAATGAGAAAGTTAAATGCTTTGCCATAGAAAAAATACTGGGGCTACTTTTATTGAAAACCTTTGCTCCTGTAATGGATTAATAGAAATGAGCAAAACCTTATCTGGGTTGATACAGAGATATAACTTGGTAAAGTACCCAAGAATGACTTATATTTAGAAATATGTCTTAAAAGTCAGAAATACCAGTTGCTAAATAGATACGTTCATTTATGCTTTTAATGCTACGAGGTATCTTAAGTATATGCAAACATGTTTAGGAATGATTTCTAACCAGATTTTTTCTGTTACATAAGAACATAAGAACTCTATTAGGTTGCCAGTGTTCTTACAAATATGTTGGCATGTTGATTTCAGTTCTCTTTGAAAACATAAAGCCAAATCTTGTTAACTAAAAAAATGAAGCCTAAAACACCCTTTTTGGATGGGTGTTTTATTTTATTTTACTTGCAGATTTGTGGGCATAGCTCAATATTTTGTTTGCTTTTCAACATTAGTTTTTATTCTAGATCAAAGAAAGTTCTTCCTAATAGGTAATTAAAATTCTGTGTGACATACTTGCTTTTTGTACAGGAGAATATGAAAAGGGTGTTGATCATTTGACAAATGCTGTTGCTGTTTGTGGACAACCACAGCAGTTACTACAAGTTCTACAACAGACTCTTCCACCACCAGTTTTCCAGATGCTTCTTACTAAAATTCCAACAATTAGCCAGGTAAGAAACATTGACATCTGCATGATTTTATAAGCTTTGAAAAAACATTTTCTCTTAGTAATGTTGACAGTAGCTGGTCCTCTTTATTTATAAATATTCATAGACTGATAAATCAATCTGAAACTCTTCTAGATAGTGATTCATGAATATGATAAAGTGAGCTGTAGTCTGTGAAATCTTATGCTAGAATAGATTTAAGGTTTCAGTGATTCTTAGCACTATTGAAATAAACATAACCAACACAGCTATTTGCAGTGGAAAATACCATATTTCTTCAGTTGTAAGATGTACCCTAATTTCAGCACAACCACTACCAACAAAAATGCACAAGATTCATTTATGATTCTAAGATGCACTCCATTTTTGGAGGTGTTTATATAGGGAAAAGGTGTGTCTTAGAATTGAGGAAATACCGTAAGATTCCAAGTAACTGTAATGCCCAAGAAGCATGCCCAAAATTGCAATCTTACAAATTTAGTGCAGGGTGGTTTTGCTTAGTTCCCATAAAAAGTATCCAAATCACATTGGAAAGCACTTGCAGCATTCAGTTTGTATATGCAATGTAGTCAGGATGAGGCAGGTAGAGACTTTATTGAGTAGTGGGATATACTTCTCAAAATGAGTCCTTTTCTGCTTGTGCCTTGATATTCCTTGACCATTTCTAGATTGAACATGTATTGAGGCTGCTGTTCAAAATTGAAGAGATGTCAGTCTGCCTGCAGCAGTCCACCTGACTCCCATTAGTACTAAGAAAGCTGCATTGGCTCACTAATTTCATTTCTTGGTGCAAGTCATAGTGCAAACTTTGATTACTGGAAGTTCTTCATGAATTAGGGATGCTTCCATAGACTCTTCTCCCTATATGCTCAAGTCATCAAGACAGCCTGCTTTCAGTGTCAGCAGTGTCTAGTACTAGGCTGACTAGAATAACTGGTGCTGAGTTCTTGATAGCAAATCTCTCTTGGAACACTTTAAGCCTCAGCTCCTCACCATCACCAGCATATTGCCGTATTTAGATAAGTGAAGTGACTGTTATCCACCAGATTTTGAAGGACAACAGGTTGTGGAGAACTTCCAGAAGTGTGTCTATGTAGAATATGTTAAGGAGGTAACTTTCAACGATTAAACCATAAAATATTGATAGTAGAAACCTGTGCAAGGTTAGCTGCCAGGTTCTCAATGAATAGGAAATTCACCTTTCAAGAAAAAATATTGCTCTAAAAGTGTTCAAATGTTTTCTTTTTCAGAGAATTGTAAGTGCGCAGTGCTTGGCTGAAGATGATGTGGAATGAGAGATCTCATCAGGAAGTTACAGTGAATCCTTAGCCCAATAGATGAGCATTACGGGGGGAGGAGGGGAAGCAGAATAAAGGAGCAAGCGTAATAGTCATAATGGACTGTATACCACATTTCAACCTGCCAGAGTGAATTTGAACTCTAGGTAGGTTGGTTTGGCTGGACTTTATTTATTATCTAGTGCAAAATGTATTTTGATAAATTCATTTTATAAACACACCATGTTGAGTTACAAAAAGTATCATTACTCTCATTTATTACCAATACGGTTGTAACATTGTACATATATAAAAAAGATGTAAAACTGCAACATAAAATGATCCCATGCTCATTTTTGAAAAACAGAAAGCTAAGGCATTAAAAACTTACCTGTGCTTCTGCCTGTGTGTTTCTTACTCAGATATCAAAGGAGTGTAATGGGGTACTTGGAGATTTCAGTATACCCTGGAAGTCATTCATGATTATTCTGTAACTTGAGCCCGAGCCCGTGAAAAACAAAAGTAGTAATTGTGGGATTCATGATCAACTTCATATAGTTCTCTCTACTTGGATGTACAGAGTTCCTAAGGCAGCTTGTTATTATGTGCCTTCAAGTTAACCCCTCAGTAGAGGTTTCTTGGCAAGACTGATTGCCTTCCTTTGAGGCTGAGAGAATGTGACTTGTTCACTGTCACCTAAGGTGCATCTACACTGAACAATTAGTTCAGTTTGACACTGCTTTAACTGCCATGTTGTGGAATCATGGAAGGGTACAGTAGTTCATGGCATCAAAAGCTGTTGAGAAGTCAAACAGACCTAGATATTTCACCTCTTCCAGGAATCCCTGAAGTTGAATCCCATATAGTCCAGTAGCTTCCCTCAAAATGTAGTAAAAGTGAGGGAAAGATTTTTTTTCAGAAGAGGTATCACCTTGGCATACTTCTGGTGTGTTCAGACTCTGCCTTGTTGGAACGAGGCAATTACTTCTTTTATCCACCTAGTTGGTCTTCTGGTATGTTTCATTAGCCAGGAAGGGTGAGGGTTTAGTACAGTGCTTCTCAACCAGTGAGTCCCCAGATGTTTTGACCTTCAACTCCCAGATATCCTAACAGCTGGTAAATGGCTGGAATTTCTAGAAATTGCAGGTCAAAACGTCGAGACCACAGGTTGAGAACCACTGGTCTAGTAGTACATGTGTGGTGGCTCTCGCCTCTAAGGATCCTATCCACATTTTTTGGCTGAAAAAATTGAAAACTAGCACTCAAACCTGAGCAAATGGGGTTCAAGGTTACATTTGTTGGACCTGTATCAACTCTGGTGTTCAATACAGAATAAATCTGAGTGATTTTATATGTCTAGCTGACCACTAAAAATGAATGCAATAGTTGTAACCAGAACAGCCTTTTTGTGACCACCACCATAAGCCTTTGCTCCTCCATCACCATAAGCCTTCAGATATACCTTTGTTTGCTTTTGGTCAGACTCAGTTTTCTGCCATTATTGCTCTAATTTCTTTGTTATTTCATTGCTGCCAGTTCCTTAGTAAAAGCAGACAGATGGAGGTTACCTATGGCTTCACTGGGATCTCCGCCAATAATAAAACTTTATATTCCACCCTATCTCCCAGAGGGGACTCAGGAGTAAGCTCCCCAATATGCATCAGGGATCCATCTGCATCTTCGTAAGCCTCCTGGGACCATCCTGATGGATCTTTCAGCCCCACAAAAGCTCTTGAGTCCCAGCAAATCTTAAACCTGACCAAGAAGTGATTGATTCATAACAATACAGTAGAAAGCTCCTTTTCCCCCAGATCACTATGAATGGGGCCGGATACTGCTTTTGACAGATCCATGTTTGTCATGGTGGACATGAAGTTCTGAGCTGCTCCTAAAAGGGTAGCCTTAGCATGGATGTGTAAGTCCCCCAGCATCACAACCCATGGGGGCTTTAGCACCACTACTAAATTCACACCAGCTAACTCAAAAAGTGAGACTCCAGAGCAGGCTTGCACAACCTGTGGCCTTCCAGGTGTTTTAAACTTCAGTTTCCAGAATTCCTGACCATTGGACAAACTGTTTAAGCTTCTGAGAGTTGGGATACCTGGAGAGCCACAGGTTGTGCAAATCTTCTCTAGAGCAGCAGGATGGGCAACAGAATCCTTAATCTGGCAAAGGATCTCATCCCATTTGCCGCCAGAATCGCTACACATCATGGAGAATCCCGCAGTGCCCAGCATGGAGAATCTGTCATCCCACGTCTCACATAGCCTGGCTTCCTCTGTACCTCATCCCATGGGCAAAGAGCATCCACTGCCTGGCTTCCTCTGTTGATTTGTATGTAACACGGGAAGCGTCCCATGTTGCCGCTACAAGGTCATATGTTGGTTCTGCTTCCCTTTTATCACTGAGTTCCACTGGAAGTAACTGCATCGTGGGAGCCAATAGGCTCCAAGACAAAAGGGAAGGGGAACCGACATTGCCGCTAAATTCAGCTCCAACTGAAGAGGTTGTAGGTCATCATACTCAAACTGCAGGCTTGGGGCACCTGGACAGTGGGAATATTATTCCAAAAGGCCACTGTTCCTTCAGGCCTTGTCTATTGCTACACAAAGAATTCAGATAGGCAAAATTGAGGGATTAACCTCACCTCAACCTCATCCAACCATGTCACTATAATATGTGACAGGTATCTTAAAATCTGAAAACCTGCATGTCAATTCCTGATTGACCCCTGGCCTTTATTACAGGTGGCAGTCATAGTGTATTACATATTTCTGTTGTTTCTTTTCTCCCCACCTATGGTACTGGGAAACAGGAAAATATGTAAAATTACATACATACTGCGTCGTCACAACATCAGTGATCAAAAGCTTCACATTATCCTGGTCCTATGAGGATATCCAATGAAATGGAATGGCGAAAAGCTCAGGTTAAAAACATTCTTCCACTGAGAAAATGTGACTCACTCAAGGACATCCAGTGCGTTTTATGGATGCATGGGGATTTGAACCCTGGTTCCAAAGTCACAAGCCAACACAAAACCACTACACCACACTGGATCTTCCTATACATGATTACTTGGAAGTACTTCCTTGTAAATTTCCATACTGTGAGGCTCAAGAATGGAGAACTTGTAAGACTTCAGATGCTATTAGATTGAAATTTTGAGGATTGGGACATCTGTAGGGATACCAAAGTGCTTGTTTATAAAGCTATTGTCCCCCAACCCTGCTATTTGCCTGTGAGACGTGGACAGTCTACAGACATCACATGCAACAAATTTCTTGGGAAGACAAGCGGACAAATGTCAGCGTGCTGGAAGAAGCAAAGACCACCAACATTGAAGCGATGGTCCTCCGCCATCAATTCCACTGGACTGGCCATGTTTTCCGAATGCCCGACCACCATCTCCCAAAGCAGTTGCTCTACTCCGAACTCAAGAATGGAAAACGGAATGTTGGAGGACAGGAAAACAGATTTAAAAATGGGCTCAAAGCCAACCTTAAAAACTCTGGCATACTGAGAACTGGGAAGCCCTGGCCCTTGAGCGCTCCAGTTGGTGGTCAGCTGTGACCAGCAGTGCTGCAGAGTTTGAAGAAGCACGAATGGAGGGCAAAAGAGAGAAACGTGCCAAGAGGAAGGCGCATCAAGCCAACCCTGAACGGGACCGCCTTGCACCTGGAAACCAATGCCCTCACTGTGGGAGAAGATGCAGGTCAAGAATAGGGCTCCACGGTCACTTACAGGCCCACCGTCAGGATACTACATTTGGAGGACCATCATCCTCAGAGTACGAGGGATTGCCTAAGTAAGTAAGTAGATGGAAATTCCTATCATCCTTGGTTTATGAATTGGCTTGATCTGTGGTAGTAGCATGACAACAAAGTCTGAAGAACCACATGTTCCTTACCCCAGTGTAGATGTTAATAGTGGGTTTATGATGTTTGTTTTTATTAGGTCAATCAAGCATATTCTACATAATTTCTTATCATTTTTAGTCATATGGTCTTGTATCTCAACTGCATTTGTGGATGCATATCCTTTTATTATTATTTTTGTTCTAAAAGACCTATTTTGAGTGTTCTTTTTACCATGTATTGATATGTAACATCTACTTTTTGAGAAGGCGATGAGTGCCTTGCGGGACTTAACAGCTTTCCGCAGGGCATGTAAGACATACCTGTTTCGACAGGCTTTTAATGTTTGATATTGCTGTTTTTAAATTGTTTTAAATTGCTTTTAAATTTTGTTAGATTTTAGCCATTCTTGTAAGCCGCTCCGAGCCCCAGGGGAGTGACGGCACATAAGTCCAAATAATAAATAAATAAAATAAATAAATACTTCCCAGCCTAATTCATACATACAATTCCTTAAGTTTCATTCATGATTAAAGGTGAGATAAATCCATCCTTATAAACAAACATTATACCAACCTCTCTTACACAGACAGCTCTGGCTCAAAATGGAATGCAATAACATTAACCTGTTCTCAGAGTCTAAAACTAATATGACACAAAACTATTCACAGTTTCAAGAACAATTGTAGGCCTACCAGGTTTGTTGGGTTAACTTGTTAAACTGCTTCCTAAACCCTCATCGCTAGATGGCAATGTGGCACTTTCAGCAAGAAAAAATTATATTCCCTCCCCCAGTTTTCCTGTAAAGTGCTTTCACTCCCATGAATTGATAATTTCACCCGCCACCCCAACAAGAGAGAGGAAAAAATGGTTTGATAATCCATTACAAAATGTTTTATGCTTGGCCCCTTTCCCAGTCCCACGTCTCATTGTAGGAAACAGTGGCTCAAAATTCCTCCTTCCTCCTTCTCCAAAAACAGGTAAAGGCAACCCCCTGAGGAGCAATTACAGTTCTGAGAAAAGCTTTTCTTCAAACAATTGCCAGGAAATATTGTCTTGACCGATATTTCTGATGCAATGCCGGCCTTCTCAGCATTGTTATTCCAGACTATTCAAAAGCAGGCAGGTTTAAATCCAGATGCACCTGTCCCTCCTAGACCTTGCCTTAGAGAATCATTTCCTTAGGAATGTCAAGCAACTTGGGCAGGTTTACCCCCTTTTTTGACATATCAGATGAAGACAAACACCTATGTTTTCACTGTCTAGATCCCTTGGAATGAGAGGGAGGGAGAAAGAAAAAGAAAGAGTAAATCCCAACACTCCATAAAATGTTAGACAAGAACAATGGCAGCTTTATCTTTGGAAACAATAACACTTTAAAAGCTCTTTTACCTCCCACCCTCTTTCCCTCCCCAGCATCTTCCTACTCCAGTCCTACTCCCCCAAATCTATGGGGAATAAAGGCAGATTCCTCCAAGCAGAGCCTGCTCTTTGACTTAAGAGCAGGCTCTTATCCACATTTGAAAGGAAGGGTGTGGA